AAGTGGACTCAGACTGGAATTAAGGAACTAATACCTCGTCTGGTTCAAACCTGATTGAGGCTAACACAATGAATACACAACATCAAGAGGTAGCGCTGGGCTGGGAAAGGGGGCTGTTGAGTTCCTAGAGTGTGCACATACAGATGGGATGGCAAAAGGACAGGGTAGAAAGTGGACTTGGGACCAGACAGAGAGAGCTTGGAGTGGGGCTGAGAGCTGGGAACCACATCAAGACAGCATTTCAGAACTCTGCTGGTGTGGCTGGTGCCTAGGTGTCCTTATCCTAAGATGTCCACAATCCTGGGCACACACATTCACACTCCACTGAGGAGTGGCACTGCCAGGCAGTCTAACATATTTTCACCTTGTATTTCCTCCTGGAGAATAAGCCAGATCAGCATGGCAGTGCCCAGCCTGAGTGAAGTGGGCCGCTTAGACCTTTACACAGCGTTCTCTACCTTCAAATGTGATGGGGCTCGTGGGCCGCTACCACCTTTGCGTGGGCGTGCGCACACACACACACACACACACACATGCATGCACACTTTTTCCCAAGATTGGATTCCACTATGTGGTATATAGGCTGGCCTCAAATTTAAGATTAGCCTGCCTGCCGTGGCCGTGGAATGCTGGGATTGTGGGTGTGAGCCCTCGCACTGTACTCTGGACTCAGTGGCAGTGTCGGAAGCTTTGCTGGACTGTACAGGTTGGTTTGTTTGGCGGTTTGGTTGGGCTGTTGGTCTCATCATGTAGCCCATGATGGCCTTGAACTTTGAGTCCTAGGATTGCAGATCTGCACTACCATGCCAGGCTACACTGCTGTACTGTAAATCTGAAAAGGGGCAAAGATGGTTGAGCCATTATTGGAAAAAACTTATATGTTTGAACCTCACTTACAAAGTCGGCCGTGCTGGGGGTAGTCCTGTGAGCGGTGTGTGCTGTGCCAGGGATAATGGCACATGCAGTTCAGAAGACAGAGCATGACCAGCTCCTCCCTGAGGCCTGGGGTGGGGGAAGAGGAAAAGGCCCCAGGCAGCTGCAGCTCCAGCACAGGTGGTGGTATGGTGAGTCTGGCTGGCACTTCTAGAATGCAGGGCGCATTATAGAACATGTAGACATGTTTTGGGCCTATGCAGATCTGGCTGTAAGGCCACCCTCCACAACACATGGCATGGACACTCACACGTTCTCAGGGTTAGTGTCTTTTACTGTGAAACAGGCCCAAACAGGGACATGCGTGAGTGCCTGTTACAATTCCTGGCATGCCCAGGGAGGTAGTAGCTACACGGCAGGTTCTAGTATCACTTGCCTGGAGCGTTGGAGAAAGGACTGAACCTAGACTGTCTTCAGACCTCAGGAAAGGCAGCAGTGGTGGCGGGTGACCCTCAGGTGGTGCCAAGGGCCTGGGAAGTCGTGGCGCTCAAGCCCTTCCTGTGGCTGCCTTCCTCCCTGGTTCCTCCCCTTCACAGACAGGAGGTGCGCACTGGCTGGCCCCTTGGATTTACCACGTGTGTCTTCTGAGCCATGGCCGGCTGGGCTGGTTGCTGGCTGAGGTGTTGTCGGGGAGCGTGCTCAGCTCATAGGTTTGGGATTATTCTGCATACCGCTGGGAAACAGCCTTTGGTGAACTTCCCTGGGCAAGATGACTTCTGCGTGCTGCCCTGGTGAAGGTCTTCCTCCGAGAGAGCATCCATTAGTGACAATGGCCTTTTCCTCATGTTCTGTTAGAGTCTTGCTAACCCAGGAGTGATGGAGCCTGCTAACTAAACAGCTTCCCAAGAGGGTCTCTGACAGTAGACTCCAGGTGTTTTCTGAGTTCTTCAGTCAGGTCCGAGCATGTTGTCCTGACCCCTGTGGCTCACAGAGGGGAAACGGAGAAGCTCTGGGTGACAGAAGCTCCAGGTATCACAGATGGGAGGCCACACGCACCTCCCTCACAGATAACTGTATGGAGATTTGTTACATGGCCGAGTTTGGGTGTATGCTTACTGATTTATAACTTACTTTTCTTACCTAATAACTACGCACTGTGGCTAGCTTTCCATGACAGCTGGGATTTGGAGCTAGTACCCCATATCACCCTTGCCCTTGCTTGTGTGTGTGGTACTGGGAATATACCCCAGGCCCTGCCTGCGAGGCACATGTTCCACCATCGGGTTGCCTCAGTGCCCTCGGATTTGAGGACTCCATGCTATGCTGTGTGGCTCCCTGGGCATTGCTGGGGTTCCAAACGCTGGAGGAACCATGTTCCTCCTACCTTTCAAGTTCCTTCCTTTCCTTCAACCTTTGTTAACCTGTCCTGTGCTCTGCAGTGACAGTCCCAGGGAGAGCTGGGCTGTCTGCCCTCTGTTAAAGGCTGCCACTCCTGTAGGGCCTTTGCCAGCAACAGTTCTGCCCAGGTTCCAGTCCCTCCATTATCCTCCAGCCTGGGTTCCTAATTATGACTTGACCCTGCAGCCTGCCTTCCACTGAGACACTTAAAAATGGCCCTGTTTGCATACATAAGTGGCTGGCTCATTTTATTTGAGCATCTCATTTGGTAGCCCATACTGGCCTTGAACTCATATTAGTCCTTGTGCCTCAGCCTGTGACATCGCCACAGTGCCCAGGATTAGTGCCTTTATCGAGTCTCTTCAGTGAAGTGTGAGGTCTTTCTCAAGCAGGTCTTGTCTGTGTCACCCCTAAGCAAATGTGATGCTTGGTACTGGAGCAGACAGTGTGCTCTAGGAAGCTCCCTTTTGTTGGCAGTGCTTGGGTGTTCAGGGTGCTATGGGGGGGTCAGAACTCAAAGCTTTTCCCACTTCCAGTGCCCTAGTGGCGGTTTCAGTGATGTGCTCCCTCCCTCGGTCTCCTTAGCTAAACTCCCAACCTGTCTCCTGCACACAGGCGTGCATGCAGCGGCAAAAGCGGCCAATGCCGGAATCAAATGCTTTGCACACCATAGTGTCTGTAAACCAATCCTCCCACGCCAAGCAAGACCCAAGGATACTAAAGCCCCTTGCGCAAGATGGTGGAGCCGCTTCCATCCTCTTGACACACACCTGCATGCTTGTCTCTGGAGTACTTAGGTGCCCAAGAAAGTCGTTTGACTCTGTAGACAGTGAGACGGTGCAGACGGTGCCTGTGGACTGTGGGTGTCCATGGGTTTGTTAGTTTGTTTTCTGTTTTTCAACACAGGTTCTCACTATGTAGCCCTGGCTGTCCTGGAATTCACTCTGTAGACCAGGCTGGCCTTGAACTCGAGAGAAGTCCACCTGCCTGCCTCCCAGGTGCTTGGTGGTGTGTGCTATAGGCATCAACTTTATTTTCCCTAACTTTTCACTGTGTGGTTGGCTGACCCTCAGATGTAGAGGCCGACTGTAAGGACAAAGATAACTGCCTGGCCAGGTGCTGGCTCGATGTACAAAGGTCTCAGAGGTCAGCTGGTCCCCACATGCCTATTTTTGAATGGGATTGGAGATTCTGGAAGAGAAAACCACAGAAGGCCGCCTGTCTACTTAGCATAGACACCGGAGCCAGGGAACACTTGGCTGAAGGCTTAAGTGATAAATTTGTATTTTGTAATCAGCTTTCATAAATATTAAACAAGCAGGAGATGGTGGGAAGCAGGGACGTGCTCTCTATGCGTGCTCAGAAAGACTCTTGCGTAGGAATGTCCATGTGTGAGTGCCGTGCTTTTAGTCTGAAATGGTGGCCGAGGGACCCTCAGCTGAGCCCCTTCTTGAGAGGGGAGGAGGCTGCAGGCAGAGCACCCTTTCAGGCCAAGCCCTGAGCTACCCCTTCCCAGTTCTGCTCCATAGAGCCAGCATGACATCATCAAGAGGAGAAGTGATTGGTGCGGCTCCATGAGGCTTTGGCTGCCCTAGCCACAGAGAAGTGGGTGCACGCAAGGAGGTCTGCACTTCACCCATGGCCCTCAGCTTGCCATGGGTCTGCAGTGTGCATTGTCCCTTGGTATGTAAACTGGCCTCCTTGATCCTGGGCACAGCCGTCCCACTCTAAACAAGAATGTGGCCCTCCCACCTCTGGGGACAGCTCAGAGCCTGGAATGTCTATTTAAGTTGCTCCCTGGCACACACTGGAGCGGCAGCCTTACACTCTGAGTTTCCACTGGTTTCAGGTTCGAAGCATCTGTTCACAATGCCGGAGTCACACTTGTGTCCTGGTAGCGTCTTGGTCTTTGTGTCAGATCCAGGGGCTCTCAAGGTCTACCTGCACACTTCCACACAGGGCCTTGTGAGTCCTGGCACCACGCTCCATAGTCAGACAAGTTAGCCTCCCGCTGGCCTCCCTGGACCATCAGGACAGCACTGGGAAGCAGGAAGCCGGAACCTGCAAGTTTGGGCTTGCTTCCTTGAGCTGCAGGCTTCTCCTCCTGCTCCCTGCTGCTGTCTGCCATGCTGCCCCCAGCCCACATGCTGCCCCCAGCCCGCCTTCTCTGCTGCCCTTGCAGCAAACAAGAGGCCAGTGAGCCCAGTGGGTACAGCACAACAGGGCAGATTCTGTGGTGCTGAATTTGTCAGGGGTGTGTGTGTGTGTCTGTGTGTGTGTGTCTGTGTGTGTCTGTGTGTGTGTGTGTAAGAAGGGGGGGGACTGCATGAGCAATCATGAGCACTAGTCTGCTCCTCACTATGTAGCTCTGGTTGTCCTGCCCCTGCCTCCCACGTACCGGGGTTAAAGGTGCACTACCATGTTTGTTTGTTTGGAGATTTCTGTGTATGGATGTTTCCTGCATGTATGCCTGTGTACCACATGCATGTCTAAAGAGGCCATCAGATCCCCTGGAATTGGAGTTACAGATTGCAAACCACCACGTGGGAGCTGGGAATTGAACCCAGGTCTCCTGGTCTTCTGAAAGAGCAGTGCAGTCAGTGTTCTTAACCTCTGAGCCATCTTGCCAGGTCCCCAACAGTTTGTTTGTTTGTTTGTTTGTTTGTTTGTTTGTTTTTTAAAACCATAAGCTTTAGTGATACATGACAGTAGTGAGTAGCTGATAAAACTGTGGTCTTCATTGTGGTCTTTATTCCAGAGCTGGGAGTCATTGAAACATTTTATCTGAATTTGGGAGAGGGGGCACCTTAAGGCCTCACTGTGTAGCATAGACTGGCCTCGAACTGCGGCAGTGGCATTGGAGTGCTGCACCATCACGCCCAGCTTTCACTTTCTAGGACATTCTTTATGCACCCCGGCTCCGGTTTCGTCACCATGGCACCAGCAGACTGTGGACAAAAAGGTTTTGTGTGATTTTTGGCCATGGTAATTTGCCTTGGATAATTCTAAACAGTTGTAGCTGAGACACAGTAGGGGTCTCTTTTTTTCTGTTTGTTTTTTTATTTCTGTGCAGTTCTTCATCCAGCCACTTTGTTGAGCGCCTGCCGTGTCCCAGCCACTGCTGTAGGTGCTGGGAAAATAGCACTGTTCAGAGACCAGGACTCTGGCTCACGGCACGGGCACTCTGGAAGGCAGAGGGGAAGGAAAGGGTGAACAGACAGGTTTGACAGTGTGCTTGGTGCTGAGTGTTGGGAGGACAGCACAGGCGAGGACTAGGGTACAGCCGCCCAGCTGAGGGAGGATGCCATTGAGGACGGGGGAAAAGCTGGCCTGCAGTGTGACAGGAGGAGGAAGCATTACTCAGCCACTTCCTGTTCATCTGCGCTGTAAAAGCAATCTCAGGTTCCGCCCTACACTCAAATCGTCACAGAGACAGACAGAGAGGGCCCGTGAGGTGGCTTTCTTTCCTGTCTCTCTGTGTGCTATGTGGCTGCCTGTCTTTCCTCATCTGTTTCCCGTTGTTTGGCTGAGTCTGTTGTCTTTCTTGTAGACTACGGTGGTGCCTTTTAAACACTCACACATCATAATTCTACGTTGTGGGACTATAACGGGATCTGACTTCCTCAGAAGCATTATGTCCGTTGGGTGGACCCCTGAGTGGATTCTGTTTGGGGCACAGCTGGTGGCATCCTTATCTCAGGAAGGATGTTCCCATGAGCTCATCACGTGGTCAAGATTCTAAGACAAAAGGGATTCAGAATTGCTGAGGTCGAGACACAGTGAGAGGAGCGGGCAGCAGATGGGGTGTACAGGAAGTCCGGAGATGGCGAGCACACATACGAGGCCCTGCCTCGAGGGACGTGCCTGGCGTACCTTACACTCGTCCCTCCAGAACCTGGTGCGTCTTACGTGCACCCACTAGAACATGATATATTCTGCATACATATCCCCAGGAGGCTGATAATGAGTTACAAACACTTCTCCACAGCCAGTTGCAGAATTCTGAGATATAGGGACCGAAGTCATCTTCTGGCCCTGGAGTTTGTAGGTCTATATATAGTTCTTAGGACCAGAGATGAAAGCAGAAGAGGATGTCCTCAGACAAGTTTAAATGGTACTGTGTGGTTGAGAGTTGACACTAGCATGTAATTGATTACCTAGCCAGATTTGGAGTGGAGGGACACACCTTTATTCTATACAACTCTAAGAAAACAGTCGATGCGGCTTGTTTTGGTTTCCTTGGGGATCGGCAGCACAGGGCTTTTCATTCCCTTGGGGTCTCTTATGGTCCCAGGTCTTCTGTGCTGTTGCTCTATTTGTACGGCCTTTCCCAGTGCTGGTCCCTTTCTGTGACCAGGACAAGTGACCGGGAAGAAAGGCAGCCTGGGCCTCCAGGAGCTAAGCGGCTCTGCTGTGTCTCAGCAGCTCTAATGACCCAGTGTCTGGCACCACAGGACCCCTTGTCCATAGCTGTAGGCAGCCTGATTGTCTGTCTGGACAGGTGGGGAAGCGCCTGAGCACAGTAGGGTTTACAAATGACAGTTTGTCTGGCAATCTGTTCCCGGCTGTCCTGATTTAAACAGCCAAGGAGTCATCGTAAACACAAAGAAATGTGTGCTTTGTACAGTCTGGTTCCTTACCATTTTCTTATTTCTTTGAGGTTTTTGGGGGATAGTTACTAAGGGGGAGTGTTGAGACAGAGCGTCACTTGTAGGTACTTGTAGATCAGTCTGGTGTGCAGCTCTTGGTGACCTTCCTAGGTTGAGGGTTACAGGCACACACCCTGAGCCCACCCTCTTTCTGCCTCTGAAGGCCTTGGTTTCAGCAGGATGTGTTCCGGCCCAGTGAGGCCTCGTGTCTGTCGGGTAAGGACAAGGCACTGCAGTCCTTGCTGGGACACTGCTTCTATGCTGTCACCAAAATGGTGTCCCGGGGAAGTCTCTCTCCAGCCACCAGCCCTGACCACTGGACAGTAGAGAACTAGTGTCTCCACGATGCAGTTCAGGATACGGCTGCCCAAGCCAAGTCTCGGAGCTGTTTCTGTGCCTCTGGACAGGGTTCATTCCTTAAGCCGCCGCCTGCCCAGCCGTATGGAAATTTGGGCAAAGCCAATCGTGTAAGTGGAGTTCTTATATCGGGGGTGATTTTCTTTTTCTTTTTGAAATGTCTGCTAATGGCCAGGAAGAAACATCTTTATTTGCTCTGCTGGGTCTTGCTATGTTACCCCAATAGACCATGGATGCTTGACCCGTCTTCCTCAGCCTTCTGGGTTGCTGGAATTGCAAACGTGGACCACCACACTGGCAATTTGGCTGCAAATTCCAAAGCACTGAGTGGGGAACATAGAGTGAGAACTGTCTCCCCCTGCCTCCTCACACCCACAGTTCCTCTCCCTCGTGATTTGTAGAAGCTCTGTGTGCCTGAAGGGACTGGTCCTTCTTAAAGGATGTCAGCCGCCTTTTGGGTTTGCTTCTCGTGCTGGTGATGGCATCCAGGACCTTGTGCATGCTGGGAGGTGCCCCATTGTTGAGCCGAGCTCTCTCCGTCCACACCTCAATTCTTTTCTTTTTCTTTTTACATGAAGAAAAATATTTTAATTTGTTTGTTTCGTTGTTATTTTTTTTCAAGACAGGGTTTCTTTGTAGACCAGGCCTGTCTCTGCCTCCCAAGCGCTGGGTGTAGAGGCTTGTGCCGCCTCCACCTGACAGATTGTAAGATTTTACTTTAATTAGTGCGTAAGGGGGTGGGGTGCAGAAGGGGACATCAGATCCCCTGGGAGCTGGAGTTCCAGTGATTTGAACCACCTGATGGAGGGACTGAGAACAGCACCCCATCCTCAGCAAGGGCAGGGAGCTGTCTTAGCCGTGAGCATCTTTCTGTAGTCAACTGTCTTCTCCAGTGACCTCTGGTTAAGAAGCTCCTCCCTAAGCACCGGCTTCCAAAAGCAGCGCTGTTTTCACATCAAGCCTTGCGGCTTATACTTCAGGTTTCAGCCTTGGTCTCTTCTGTAATGTCTCTCTCCTTGGTGAGCTCTCTGTTGGTTTGTAGCAGTGATCTGACCTAGTCCACAGTTCAGTTCTCCAGAGGAGGACACTAGACTCTGGGAGCTGAAAGGGCCGGCCTGAGGCCTCCGCACTGATCAATGGAGGAGGCGGAGCCTTTAACACGGTTGATTTTTTACAAGTTGGGTGAGGTTGATTTTTGTTTTTCCCATCGCTCTTGTTTCGATTATCAGAACACTTTGGAATATTATTACCTGTATTTAGTGAGGATGTGTGCACACTCCATAGTGCTTACTTGGGAATCCGGGGACGAGTGTGAGAGTCAGTTCTCTCCCCATGTACTCCGTAGCTCGGGAGAGGGCCTCCTGTGAGCAGTGACTCCCAGTGCTCCCAGTCCCCATGAGGCTCAGTGCGGCTGCACTTCTCTGCCGTCCCAGGCAGACTGTTGGCTTTGTTTTGTTTGTTTCCCTGTTTGTTTTGTGACTTGCAAAGTGAAGTAGTGATTTCCATCAAATTCTCAAGTTCAGTATAGCCCGGCCCCTGGTGCACAGACTCCCTGTATGTACCCTATATGCTGTGGGCCCTCCAGATTTCCCGCAGACACTCGGCATCCCCTCTGTCTCGCATCACTATTCCTGTGAGGTCCGAGGAAGTCCGTTCTCATTCTCTGCTACATCCTCTGCTTCTCGCTCTCTCTCCTTGTTTCCCAGTTATCCTGCCCTGCTCATCTCTGCGGAGCCACAGGGCGGGCAGAAGAATGTGGACGGGGCGCATCTTGTGCCACAGGGAGGCTTCACCGTATCCTACTTTATCCAGGACTTGCATGCGCCTCCCCGTCTGTCAGGAAGCTCAGTCACTGATGACCACGTGACACCCCCCAAGACACCGTTCCCATCAGGCTGCAGGGAAAGTTGCTTTTCTGTGTAACACACACTGCTTTTTTTTTTTTTTGGTTGTCTGTCTTTTGTCTCTGGTGCTGGGGCATTGAACATAGGAACACCACACGTGCACACACGCGCGCGCACACCCCCCCCCCAGCTCTATCACTAACCTATATCCGCAGCCACCTGCAGTCTTTAACTCTTCCTCCTGTGACTCCTTCCCAGGAAATACAGCAGAGCCTCTTCCTGTGCTGTCATGTTTGACACAATCAACACAGGTCTTCCTGTGTCCCCCCACGTGCCAGTGGCTCTGGGTGTTCTCCCTGATGGTAAACTCTGCTCTATGTCAGAGAGGCTTTCTCAAGCAATTTTTAAAAGCAGCGTGGCTCACCATGACCTTACTCTGCCGCACTGCCGCCTTTGTACCAGTTCTCATTTGAAATCAACAGGACAGACGAAGGCTGGGGAAGCCTTGGGGTTATAGATAACTCGAGCCAGATCCCAGAGGGTAGCCAAGGCCGTGTGCTCCTGCTCTGAACCCGTCCACCCATTTGTCATTACCAAGGTTTCCTGTGGCATCTCTGCCTGTCCTCTTCATTCTCCTCCCTCTTCCTGGACAGGCACAGCGTCCAGGCTTTTCCAGGCTCTAACAGTGGCTGCCTCCTCATGCCCCTAACCATTTCACCTCACTGTCCCTGCCCACAGGCCTCCTCCCCCTCTGCCTTCTGTGCTCCCTGTCCTCCTTGGGTTCCCTGTGCTCCCTGGTGCTGAGAGCCAAGTGCCAACTCCTCAGCTGGACCCCGGGAGTCCCCATATAAGAGCATTTGGCGTGGCCTATGTCGCCGCCCTACTGGCATCTGTTCCTGTTTTCTGGCCGTCTTCCCTTGCTCTGTTAGTTTACACCATATGCTGGCTCAGGACGCTGTTCTCCGTTCCTTGTGTTGAAATTCACCCTTTATTAAAGCTCGCCTTATCACTTCTTCTGTGCATGTCCTCTGTCACAGGTCACCTTACTTTGTTATGTAGAGGCTTTCACTGAACTTGGACCTGATTGTCTAGACTGGTTGGCCAGCAAGTCTCAGGGGTCACCTGTCTCCACCCCCAGCGCTGGGGTCACAGATGCATGCCATGGCACCCGGCTGCTTAGGGTCCCAGCTTAGAGTGTCAAGCCTGTGCAGCAAGCATTTACCCAGTAAGCCGTCCCCTCCCCCAGTTCCCCACAGTTATTAAAAGCCCACTTCATGCCTGGCGTTGTTCGAAGAGTTGGCCATGCCAAATGAAAGCACAACCATGATAAATCGCAGCTTTGGCTGGGCCTTATGGCCTAGGCCTGTAATCCCAGCCACTCAGGAGGCTGAGGCAAGAGACTCACAATTTCAAGGCCTGTCTGGGCTGCAGAGTTAGTTTGAGGGCAGATGCTATCTCAAGACAGAATAAAATGAGATGAGAGTCAGTGGCATGGAGTATTTGCCTAACATGCTGAGGCCCGAGGGCCAACGCCTACTGCTGCTAACAGCAGAATAAGGACAGCCCGCTTTGAGGCTCCTCACGCTGAAGGGAGAGGCCGGGTCGAACAAGGTCAAACCAGTAAAATAATCACAAATGAAATAAAGGCTCTTGAAAACAGAGCAGAGAGCTGTGAGGTGGCAAGGTGGAGAGCCTGGTACCCTGTCTGCTATGAGGGCCTGGGGTGAGCCACGAGGAGAGACCGCAAGGAGTGGGCCCACGTTAGGGTGTGGAAGGTGACCCTGTCCGCCTCACACTTCCCACCCACCCTGGATTTGCGTCTGCCCAGGCAGCCCTCTCTCCCACTACTTGGCACTGCGTGTGTTGGTGATCTTGTTTGTGTGTGCAGTACCTGTCTTCCCAGCCAGGCCAGGACCCTTTCTGAGGCAGAAGGCGGGGTCATTCTTACGGCCCTCAAGCCTCGCAGCCCGCAGAGGCCATTTAGATGTCAGAGCCAGCCTGCTCTACAGAGTGAGCTCCAGGACAGCCTGGGCTACACAGAGAAACCCTGACTCAAAAACTACAAGCAAACAAACAAAGAAAACAAAAAAGAAAGAAAGAAGAAATCTGCCGGAGCCAGTGGTTCAAGAGCCGAGGAGGAAGGGAGGGGCGCTCTATGTCCTCAGTCCTTACAACGCAACAGCCCCGCCAAAGCTCCCAGGTGCAAGCCACCAGAGGCCTTGCCACAGGCTCTGACCTGGATTAGAGTCTTACCCCTGGAGGGCACTGCATTTTGAATTTGCTTTTCCGTTCCCTAGCGGTAAGTAGGAATACAGGAGGGGTATGTCACTAACCTGTGGGCTTCTCGTGGCCTGGAACTCAAGACAATCCTGCCTCATCCTCCAGAGTCCTAGGATTAAACTTGTAGATTCAGCTCAGGAAGTTCTACTCCAACTCCATTCTCTGTTCTTTCCCCATAAATAAAACAGTTGACACTTCCAAAGACAGGGACACAGAAGCCCCTTGGTGAAGTCACCGTGTGCTGTACAGTTCTTTCTGCTTTCAGGGACCCAAATGTAAGTCCAGAGCAGAACTCAGTTTGGCAGGCTCAAAGCAACCCCAGTGGTAAACAGTGCCTTGAGAGAGCCACGCCGGCTCCTGCCCAGGTGACTTCATGTGTCTGCTCAGCATAGCCCAGTTGACGCCATGTACACGTCTGCAAATAGCTTTCTGGGAGTGTAGTCAACAAAGCAGAGGCTCACATGGCTGACACACATGATGCGGGTGGCATCGATTTAGTAAAGAAAGCTTTCAAAATTTTTCTTTAAAAAAAAAAAAAAATCACGTGAGTGCTGATGTAGCAATCGGGCTTGATGAGTGAATGTCCCTGGCGCAGTGCAGGCCCAGAGGTCCGGCCCAGCCCACTCCACCAATGCTTTTCCCTGCTAAACTCTTTGAAGGTTCGACTCGACCTGGCCTTTTCCATTCTGGACAAGCACTGCCATTTCTTACAGCGAGGACTGACCCCAGTGGTGCATGCATTTGCTTCAGCCCTGACAAACAGCTCAGATGTCTGCCCCTGGGCGGGCCTGGGCAGGCCACCACTGCCCCTGAGAGAGCTCTGTTAGGGCACCTCAGAAGCTGACAGGGTCATTGGTGCCCACTGTTCCTCCGGTCCACGCTGGTTCCCACTTACTCGGGGCTGTCACCTGCTTGGTAAGAGCAGCCCCTCCCTGGCCATGACCTTTGAGAGTTCCTCTAGACCTGGGTCAAGCAAGGGTCTCTGGGCCGTTTCCTGCCAGGGAGTCAGTTGCTTCTTACTGCCCTCTGCCGCCTGCCCTCTGCCGCCTGCCCTCACTTCCCTTCTTTAAGGAGAAGGTGCTGTGTGTGCTCTGCCCTGGTGGCGGTCCATCACAGTGTGTGCCAGGGGCAGACTCGGACAGTGACCAAGGTGGGGGCAGGTGTGCAGGAGCGTCACCCCTCGCCTCGGGTCAATGTGCACAAAGCAAGGGGATGACAGCCTTCCTGGATCAGACCCAGCCCGGGGAAGTTTTTTCTGCATTAGAGAGTACGTGCACTCTTCAGTCGGGTCTGCTGTGCCCTGGATTTGCTTAGTTTACACCATTTTTTTAATTGTCCTAACTAAAATATATTCCAAGCCAAGCATAGTGACTTATGCCTTTAATCCCAGTTCTCGGGAGGTAGAGGCAAGAGGATCTCTGTGAGTCCAGCCTGGTCTGTATAGTGAGTTCCAGAATAGCCAGAGCTACACAGTGAGACCATGTCTTGAAGAAAAATATAGAAAGAGAATGTTTGTTTGTGTGTGTGTGTGTGTGTGTGTGTGTGTGTACATGGATAGACAGACAGACCGATCAATCTAGAAAAGGGAATGAAGCATCACAAATCTGACCTGAGATTGTCAGAGGCTAACAAAGCCACAAAACCGAGTCCCAGGAGCTTCTGCTTGGACTTCTGCCCACCTAGAGCTGTAGGTGATAAGTGTGACTTCACAAGGCCACATCGAAAACGTAACCTTGCTTTTGAATCCCGGCATCCACAGCTAAAGCACACACGCTGAGACTTAGGCTGGTGTTTTAAAGCGCAAACAAGCAGCTCAGTGAGACAGGCCATTGTGAACCCGAGGGACCGGTTGCTATGTGAGGAGGTGGGACAGGTTGGCTTAGGAACATTCTCTCCCTGAGTAACAGGCAGATGAGCGAGTGCTGGCTGGCCTCCCTGGAGCCCTGTTCTCGGCCTTGCTGCCAGCGGCTGTCCAGCCTGGGACAGGACCCTTTACGTTATCAGCAGGTATTTATGGATACCATCTGTGTGTATGGCTGTGCAGGGTGCCCACAGGCAAGGGGATGGGGCTAAAGCTCTCTTCTGAGAGCTTGCTGGTGTGCAGGGGTCATTCCTGATGCCACAGGAAGTGCTGGAGAGCAGAGCTCTCACAACAAAGGGCATGGGCTTGTCTCAGTGATTTCCCAACTTGACTTAGGTTTTGTGTGTTAGGTCAACAAGAATAGCTTTCTGGGTCTCTTATTTATTTAAGGCTGAAAATATATGTCAGAAGAGGGTGGGACTCGTGTTGGTCCGCCCTGAGGACTCTTAAGCCACCCTTCCAGCCCTAATGCCACAGTATGATCATTACGACAGAATTCTCCCCTACCTGAAGCCTGGCTGCTCGGCACCCAAGGCTGGCTCTCCTGGCCCCGACAGAAAAGAACTACCCTCCTGTCTCCTCTCAGGCCCACAGTTCTGCTGTCATCCATGGGTGTCACTCCAAATAAAACAGAAAAAGACAAGCGTATTCCCTGCACATTTCCTGTGGGGCCTGCGAGGTCAGGGCCCAGTGGCTTCTGCGGCACCAGCCTTCACTGAGCGCTGTGTCCGGATGCCCTTCACAGGTGGCCGCTCTGACACTCTGCACTCCTGCCTGCTCTGCATTCCAAGCAGGAGGGCTCTCCTACAGCCCGCCCGGTTGAGACTATTACAGCATTCAGTTCTAGTGCGGAGCCCGGCTTCCCTTCAGCAGAGCTGTGATTAACCGTCATAATCTACCAGGGAGTGCCAATTAAGAGTATGATCTCACGCTGGTGCTTCTGCATTGTAGGCTGCCATTGGGTGTGGTACTGTCTCACCTTGGTAACACCTTGAATTGGCATTCATTGAACCTTGTTGGACTCTGACCAGCCAGAGGGTCCTTGGCTGTCCTTGGACTGCCCGCCATTGTGCTTGGCTGGTTGCAGCAAGACAGGGTGTTTCTGTAGCTTTGCTTTATGAAGACCTTAAATACAAGGGCCAAGGAGGTGACCTCAGAGCCTCACCTGACCTTTGACAAAGCCTAAGACTCTGTTGCTTAGCAACACGATGGCACAGGTGGGCACTTGTAGAGTACATGAGTAAGCCCCGGTCTCCTGGCATCTGCCTGAGTAGAGTTGGTGTAAGCTGTCATTGTACAAACCCAATGTGGGCCAGTGCCTGGCGTACAGGATGGGGCGGTGCTACCTGTTTCTCTTCAGTCTGTAATGAGTCACCTCGTGCTGTCACGGATGGCAGCTTAGCCTGCAGTTCCGCCTTGCTTGTGGCCGTCCAGCTGTGTGTTGCCGCAGTGTGCTAATGGGCCAGCGCCATAGCCTACACCAGGGGCACGCCATGGGGAGTGCCCTTGCTGACTCTCAGCCTTCAGGGTTAGAAACCTGAGCTGCCCAGTGGTCTGGCTCTGAGCAGCCCTCAGAAAGTTCTCACGCTCCCCAACGTGTGCGGAGCCTGTTTCAAACGCTTGGGACCCAAGCATGGGATTCCTTAACACTGGTAGTCAAGAAGAATTTGATGCAGGTTTTAGCGGACACATTTATAGGTTTATGGCTGCTGTCGTGCGGGTGTAGCGAGGCAAACTGAGGCAGTTCACATGCGTGACTGCAGGGGGTGCTCCAAGCGAATCGCATTCTGGTAAACTCTTCCACCTTACCCAGGCTGTGGGTGTCTGCTGGCCGCCAGCTGCTGGGGAAGCTTTTACGCACCCTATTTATACTGACTGCACCTGGCGTTTGGCCTGAGTTCCCCTCTGAGCACCTATCTTGTGTTGAGATCCCTGAAAGCAGAAGTTAAGTGCAAACGGCCTCCTATCGGAGATGACTTCAGTGGGTGCTGGTGGGAGCTGAGGAGAGGGACCTCCCAGGCTGCAGGGCACAGAGCTTCTTAAACTCCCAGGTGCAGCTAGAGCTGACGATAGCAGTGTGAGCTGCTCCCCTGGAGAGACAGGACAGGTCACTGATACTTACGGGGGGGGGGGGGGGGCTTACAGTTGCGAGTACTCAGTACGAGAGGCTGTGGGAAACCCCTCAGTGACCTGCTTCCAAGGCCTCTGCGGTCCTATGCACCACCCCTTGGGTCTTAGGAGCATGGCCACTGCCTTCTGCAGAGGGAGGCTTGCTGCAAGAAGCACAGGGAGCCGAGGCAGCCTGGTAGCAGGGGGGCCTGGGTGCTATAAGCACAGAAGCCAGGGAGCACGGGACTCAGGCAAAATTGAGTAGAGAAAACAGCTGGCATCAAGTCCCTTTTCCCAGGACCCATGAACAGAGAGAGGCCCTGGGTGACAGTGACAGTGGGGTCAGAGGCCCTGGGTGACAATGAGGTAAATGCACTTGGAGTCTCACCATCAGAATCACCAGGCCTGTTTCCCCAACCCCGGGTCAAACTCATGTCAGCCATGGTTGTCATGCCACCCACCTGGGAAGGAAGGGAGACCGGCACAGGCAGGGGGCAGGGCCCTGGCACCTTGCATGCCTGCCAGGCTGAGGAAGATGCAGACTTCCCTCCACCCGGAGCAGCTGTGCACGGGAGAGAACTGAGGCTCGTTCAGTCTGACCTCCCCAGAGTTTGGGCTCTTTATAAAAAGAAAGGCGTGGTCGATTCACCGTTTTCTTCATGTAGATGTTTTACCTTGGAGTAGTTGTATAGTCACAGGAAGTTACAGGAATAGTTCCAAGTGCTCCTTTGGTACCATTCCCTAGTTTCTAGCTGTGGAGAAATATTTCATAACGGATACAAACACGCCACAACAGTGTCCTACTCCAAGCACTGGATCACCACAAAGGTCTCCCTCATCTGGCCTCAGGTCTGTGCCATGAGAAGTCGGTGCTCTTAGCATTCCGTTCCTCCAGTTAACCGGAGACACAGTGGGTCTTGGCAGAGTACAGGGTCATTGTCTCCCAGGTAAACTGGGACACACTGGGCCCTGGCTGGAGGCCCTGGTGTTAGAGTCAGGTGTGTGCTTCTGCTTTGGGGCCTGGAGAAGACTGAACAACAGGGCACACCAGTCTTCATCGTTGTCCTGTGGATATTCGGGCTTGGTACGAGTCAGGACCAGCTCCTCGTGAGGGCTCTCCTCCCGGCTTATAGATACCATATCCCCATGGTAAAGGCCTCAGTGCCACACACTTTTTTTTAGCTTAGAGGCTAGGCTCCAGCATCTGAGTTGCAGGGACACTATCCAGGACACCTTCACTAAGGACTGCTTCTTATCTGCCACTCCTTATCACAGAGTGGGGGAGGGCAGGGTAGGCAAAGGCAGGAAGCAAGACTGAGCCAGTGTACTGCTGGCTCAGTGATTTCTAAGTTATCTCTGGATTTCTGCCTGCTGCATTGACTGACCTAGAAACTCACGGGGTCTCTGCCCTCACCCCCATAGGAGGA